TGAGCACAAGTTCCTCTCTTAAGCAGTTTGCCAAAAGAGTTCACATTAACTTTTCATCCCCACTCTTCCTCATCCTGGCAGTTAATGTTGCTGTATCTTGATCTGAGCTAGCATGAAAAAAACCAAAAGCAACTGCATAAGCATTGCTGGCAAAGTACCTACAATTTTGAAAGCATCAGGTGCAAACGTGTCTTTGAGCCCTATGCTACTTCTTACTCCTTCAGTTTTGGCCTTCTTGTTCCCCTCAGATTTCTTCATGACAGAATTTCTACACCTTTAAACATAAAGGCTGGAGACACGTTATTTGCAAATACACACAGGTGGATATTAAGGTTTTCCAGGCAGGTTCTTGAAAGCTCAGTGAAGCCATTTTGCTGGCACCATTTTTTGCTGCATTATTACAGTTTAGTCACTGTAGCTTTAAGGTGCACAGAAAATACAACTCTAATGCTAAACCATCACGAGTGAAACCAGACTGAGAAACATCGTTGATAACCTGAGACAGAGAAGATTGTGCATATGACTAAAACTTCCACTTCACCCTACAACTGGGATCAGTTCCCGAAGACACAAAAACAAGCAAGAGCCTTGTACAGGAATGGGCTGTGCCTGCAGTGACTCAGTCCCAAATATCAAATTCACAGGAACATACACATTGCCTACACATACTGCAGCACTGAACAGAGACAGTTCCATCAATTACTATGCTTACTCATCTATTGAACTAGTTATGAATTTAATGTCATATGAAGTTCCAATAATACTAACAAAAGTAATAGAAAACTACAGATCAAATCCTCACTTCTGTTTGCTTTTTGGACTCACAACAATTTATTTGATACTAAAGGTCCTGTTGCAGTCATCCCTATTTGCCAGATTGAAAGTAAAGCAAGCTATTCTCTGACTTCTTGCATATTTAATATAAATTTGTTACATTGCATAGCTGTAGTCTCTATTTCTATCCACTATTCGGATGGAATGCTTTATTACAAGAAACTTGTAATCCAAAGCAGTGCTATCTCCTTGAATGTTAGTGACCAAAACCCTCCCTTGGTCACTTGGTTAGTGACCATCCCCCATTTCCCTTCCTGCCCACCCCAAGTTATTTTTGTCAAAATTGGATGCAAAACATGAAATAGCACTGAAACCAAGAGCAGCTGTGCAAACACCTGCAACAGCTCTCTCAGTATAAAATTTCAGTTTCTTCTGTCTCTCCAAGTGTTTTTAATATTGTGATGTTGGAACAAATGCATATGGACAACGAAAAGCCCCACCGTGATATTTGAAATTCTCTCTGTGAAGTTCATTTGATGCTTCAGAATATCCTGTGGTAACACAGAATCTGCACCTTTTTCACCCCATGTCTGTCTCACCCCCAGCTCCCCTCCGACTGAGCACTCTGGTTGGCATTACTGGCCACACCAGGGTGACACCACCATGACTTTAATCAGACTTCAAGCTCCTGCCACCCACTTTCCTTATTGAGGCCAAAGGTTTTGCTGTAGCAGCTCTGGCTCTCACACAAACCCCTCTACCACATCCAGAAGAAACTGCTACAGCAACCAACTACAGACACCGTGCAAATGCTGCTCCTCAGTGCATTGTGGTGGGATAAGACACTGAGGGACCTAAACTTGAGGCCCAGATACTCCCCCCGCCCCACTGAGATCTAAAGCAAAAAAGGGTCAGTGAGCTGCACTGCATTTTAATTGCACCAATACAGTTAAATATTAAATGGAGAAAGCAACTCTACATAGCAAATGGAAAACAAGCATTTACATAGTAAAGCTGTAAGATGTAGAAACTGTTAAAGTTTTACCCCAGTTGTCTATACGTGAATATCCCACTGCAGTTTTTGGTGTTAAAATTTTAAATGTAAAACAAAATTAACATTTTCAGGTTCATACAGAATTAGCAAGTTATTGAGAAACAAAGTTTCCTCCCTCATAAGCAAATACTGATGGGGGGCAGGGCAGGACACCCTGTGTTTTTTTCATACCATCACTCCATCTACTAGCGTGGGTAGAAGAGAGCAACACTTTTCTGAATACACTTGATTTTCCCCCACATACACACCCCAAAGGGGCATATGCTGATATCTGCCAGGACAGTTACCCAAGGGGAGTTAACACTACCAAGTTAGACACTGATCAGCTGGGGAAAGAGTTCACTAGCAAAGCTGTCCTCCCACACGTGGTCAGTGCCAAGTGGAGAGGACATGTCACTGAAGGGCGACAGGGATCCTTCATACCCAGAGTCACTACAGGCATCCAACAAGTAGTTTGAAGCTTCAAGGCTATGATGAGAAGAAAGCAGATGAGAAATGCCCAGTTCAGGCATGAAGTTGTCTACAGGTTCCTCCTTCACAGACACTGGGACCTCAGGGATAGCCTTGTCTTCAGATGAAGAGAGAGATTCTTTCTCAATTTTCACTAGCATATTGGTTTGGTTGCTTGCTTCAACAGGAATCTCCAGTATTAGGGGCTTTGTATACACATGATCAAACCTTATCAGTTCATTAATGGCCTCCAGCTTAGCTGATGGGGACCCCAAAGATGGAGAGAGGGAGGTTGATATGGAATTTGTTTCTCCAGAGATCTCTTCCTCCAGCTTTTCCAGGCACATTGACTCCGAATCAGCACATCTGAGAAATATCTCTGGGTCCAGACTGTCCAGAAAGCCCAACAGGAGATCAGGCTGCAGAATGAAATACTATTTTAGAAAGACAGCCTATTTCTGTTACAGCAAAACCCCAGTTGTGGCACGTATTAACCCCCATGCGGAAGTTAAAATACACTAAACACAATCACAGTTGTTTTATCAAGAACACCAAACACACAGTTAAGGCAGTTACTTGTCTTTCAGAAATTCACAGAATCCATCAGGTTGGAACAGACCACAGTGGTCCAACATCCCTGCTCAAGCGGGGTCAGCCTAGAGCACATTGCACAGGATTGAATTCAGCCAGTTCCTGAATATCTCCAGTGAGGGAGACTCCAAAACCTCTCTGGGCAATGTGTTCCACTGTGCAGTCGTTCTTTGTCCATTAACTTTTTTGTTAAGGTACTGGCAATCCCCACAGAATTCTACATGCATTTGAGATTCACAGCCACTACTGGAAACTCTTTGAGATCCTGGACACATCATCAACTGCTACTGCTACAGTACCTGCTGGCTACACAGAGCACGGACCAGAACCCAGCTTAGGCAGACCTGCCTGTGACCAAAGTTCAGAAGGCTGGGTTGGTTTTTTTGGGGGGGTTTTGTTTAACACCTGTACTCACTAGATACAGCCTAACACAGCTGTTCTGAGCCACAGATATGGCATTCCAAGACTTGGAAGAACAAAGAAACTATGGAAAAAATCATAAAATTATTTAATATCAAGAAATTAAACTACTAGTCTTAAATCCACAGCAGTTCTGAAGTTCGTGGGCAGTCCGCATAGGAATGGATGCTCACCTCAGAGTCTGAATAGTCACTGCCATCAGAATCCACGTGGAAGCTATCAGAAATGGTGACTGCTGGGCCTGCACCTGCTGCAGAGGAACACGTAGTCTGAGTGCTGCGGACTCAGCGGACCCGGTCACCAATCTAATCTCATCCACCTGTGATTCCTTCACAACCTGTGCCAAGGAAAAAATTCAGTCACCACAAGTGTTCTGGCAGGCAGTACAGCACATAATCCTGAAGACCACGTTTTTCCTGCAAAGGCTTCTAACATGAGATTCTCCACTTGCTTACGCTGTAGCAACCTGAAGGTAAGACGACTTCCAAAGTTAGCTGAAGCCTCCATACACTTGTGGATTTATTTTGTTTGCCGCTTTTAAATGAGAGCCTGACACCCTCCCCCAGACACCATTCTTTTGAGACAGGCCTACATGACTGTCACAGCTTTTACTTCACTTCTATAACAAAGTGCAGAGGAGCAGATGAAATTGTCTCAAAACAGCTTGGAACTAGTCACCTTGTTATCTCCCACACTACCCACCTGGCACCTGTTCGGTTTCAGGAGAACTTCCATTTGGAGGACAGGGGTGTTTCTGGCACATCCCTGTTCACAGCACTGGGGTTACCCCGGGAGCGGGGCAGCTCCCGGTGTGCTCTGCTCAGGGCAGGGGCGGACACACCAGCAGCGCGGCGGGCGACTCACCTGCGACTCGCCGCCCTCCTCCTCCGTCTTCAAAGCATCTAAACCCAGGCGGCAGCGGAGCTCCTGGTTCTCCAGCACAAGGTTACACGTCCTCTCCCGCAGGAGCTGGTTTTCCAGCAGCAGCTTCTGGTTCTGCAGAGAGCCATGAGGCAGGGAGGCCGCCCCTCACCTTCTCACCCCCTCCTCCTCCAGCCCCTCACCGCCTCCTCCAGCCCCTCACCTCCTCCTCCAGCTCCACCACTTGCTGCTCCAGCTCCGTCATCCGCGCCTTCTTCCTGTCCCGGGCGCTCTGGGCCGCCACGCGGTTCTTCAGCTTCCTGCGGGACAGGGCGGCCGTCAGCGGGGAAGCCGCGGCCCCCCCCGCGCCGCTGCCTCCCCCCGCCGCTGCCCCCACTCACCTGCGCAGCGCCTTCTCCTCCGGGCTCAGGTGCGTGAGCCGCTGCCGCTTGCGGGCCGGCTGCGGGCCCTCCAGCCCCGCGAGGCCGGGGTCGGCTCCTGCCGGCAAGACAACGGAAAGATGCCGGCCGGCCGCGGCGCCAGGGGCCTCGGCCGCTTTGCTGGGGATAAGGAGCAGCCGGGGGGCCGCGGCACCGGGCAGCGCTGCCATGGCGGGACGCGGTGGGTGCGGAACGGACGCGCTGCCCGGCACCGCCAGCACAACCCCCTGCGACGCGCCCGGCCCCGCCCGGATTTCTACTATCGTGGCTCTCGCCCATTGGCCGGAACGGCGTGACGCTACGGCCACACGAGCTCGTGATTGGCCGGCGGCCGAGAGCAAGGGGGGAAGCGAATTGCATCAGACGCGGGGTCTGCGGCCGGGGGGCGCCGGCGCGCGGCGAGGGGCGGGGCCGCGACGGGCCGTGAGGGGCCGGGCGCGATGGCCGCGGTGGGGTGGGCAGTTAGTCCGAGAGGCAGCGAGCGGGGTCTGGCGTGGCGGTGCTGCTGAAGCCCCTTTGTGGTCCCCTCCCCGCGGCCGGTTTGTCACAAGGAGAATCGTGGGGAACGCAAGCGCCAAAAACGGAACTTCAGCAGATGCCATGAGAATGGGCTAAAAATGGGCTAAAAAGAACAAAAAAGCAGAGAGGTTAGTGATTGATGAGTAGAAGTTGCAGGAGAGTGTGCAGAAACCCCCCAGGGGTGTGACAGCGCTGCCCCCAGCTTGTCCTGCGAAGCAGCAGTGCTGCGTGGGAAGTGAACACTTCTGTGGGGTCCCACGAAGGTCATCACCCTGCCCTGACGGGCTGGTGTCAGAGCTGAAGGATCTTGGGTCCAGACAAGTGAAAGTTTTGTAGGTAGAAAGCCTCAAAATACTCTGCCTGTGGGAATGCAGGTGTTCAGCAACCTGCCCACAGCAACACACAAGCTCGCAGGGCATCGAGGGTGTTGGAAGTGTTGACCTTAGCTCAGTGACCAAAGCTTTCCAAGTTTCCACTTGCAACAGTTGCCAATGACCTGAGTAGTTATGAAATGTTGAGACTTTGGATGCTTATGTTTATTTTTGAAATCCATTTGTACATTGAATTTAAATTAGTTGTTAAACAGTAAAGGAAAAACATGAGCTTTAGAAGTTCAAAGGCACTGGTGTGCTGGTTGGGCATTACTCCAGCATTGGAGTTCTGCCAGGCTTTCATGATCCAGTGAACAAACTGCATTTGTAAGCTTGTGTTTGTTCTTTCCTTACTCACTGCAGCATGACATTGAGCTAAGGCTGAGAATTCACCTTTCTACTTTGACACCTTTGTGAAAAATACGGCAACTTTTCGATAAGCCTTTTAGTCTGAGTGCAAAAAAGTTGTTTGTTCAGGTCCCGCTAAACCCCTTAGATACGGGTCATTGAAAACTATCTGCTTCTCTTTTGTGTGTCTCTTCTGGGTTTTGACTCATGTTTCTTCTGTAATTCTAATTCTCAATTAAAAACTTTACTGCTTTCTATCAAAATGCAGGTCCAGTATTAATAACTTTTTCAGATTTCAGACATTCATTTTGAATTGCCCTTTTTTGCAACAGAAGTGTTGAACAGGCTGCCTCACATTGCTGATTTCTGGTATCTATACTGGGGAGACTTGTCATGATATGATTTATCAGACAGATATCCAGATTTCTTAGTGTTATGGCTGAAAAAAGATCCTAACTTTCTGTCTAAATTTTTCTATTTAATTTTATAGGGAACCAGAGCAAAAGCATCTGTTTCCCTTTGCAACAAACACTTGTGATCATGAATAAACTCTAGAAGTGCAGGGACATATATGCCAGTAGTGGTGCCTGAAATGTTTTCCAGTTATGTGTGACCAGGCACAAAAGTGGAAGCTACCCTTGGTACTGGTGGTGTCCATTCTTACTGAATATAATAATGGCATCCATTAGCATGTCTGGTGTTGGCAGTAATAGCTGACAAAACAAGGGCATGACACCCTGCAGTCTAGTCCTGTTGAACAGTTTTAGTAGCACTGCTAAGAGTAGCTGTGGTGTAGTTGCTGAGAATACATTTAGGCTCACGAATACCATGTTACTATCATTAGGAGACATAAAGTCTTTTGTTTAAATGTATGGTTAAGTCACTGGGGAAAAGAGTGCCAAAAAGAAGTTCAATAAATCTAGTCTTGCACTGTGACACCCTCTCAGAGAATTTTACTTAAAAGACTTCAAGTTTAATTCTAATTTCCACTTTTTTTTTTTTTACACATTCCAGTCTTTGTATTTTTCTTTTTTTCAGTTGTTGGATTCAATCCTGTGATCCACATGAATGCTTCTCACCCTGCCTTTCACCCCACTGGGGGTTCAGCACTACCACCAAGGATGTGCCAACAAGGATACTGTTGGCTGTCCTGCCAGAAACCACATTAATTCCTGCTAACATAGCTTTATGTTGTATGTTCCAGGTGGCCAACCCACCAGAGGAAATAGGTTTGTTTAACAAAGGTGGAGAGGCTTTGCCCTTGTGTAATATCAGATACAGAGAAAAAAACATGTGTTGAATGTTATCTATGTATGAAAAAAGGGGGTATAGAAGAGGGAAATAAAATGGAAGAAGGGGGTGTAGAGAAAAGATTAACTGACAATCATAGTCTGAGAAAGAGCTTGTTTGCTGAATGTGTGTCTGAAAATACTTGGAAAGTGGCCTGGGGCCCCAAGCTTGTGACAACAGCTGGAATATTCCCAGATTTGTATCAATAGCTGATTAAATGAGAAGGGGAACTGTTTTGCTGCCTAAAATGAGGTTTGGAATAACTTATATTCATTTTACTTATTCTTAAATTTCATCGTTACACATTGGGATTCAGGAGTACATCTTTCAAAGTCTTAGTGCTCCTTATTTCAGGGGATATGCAGAATCTGTATCCTCCGCCTCCTGCATGGGAGCTGCCACTCAGTCTGCATGCAGTTGGAAGCGACGTTGGCTGGGCCTTCTCTTAACGCTGCTGCAAGCAGGTCCTTCAGAAGGTGATATTTTGCTCAGCTCAGCTATCATCCCTTCTCCATTAATACTTGTTATTGAGATTCTGTCTCATTGGCCTCTGTGATTGTTTCCATTAGAATGGTGTGGCAAAGACCCAGTGAATCCAACTTTAAACCCCAACTCTCCTGCAAACGTCTTACATATGTGTACCTTGTATTCCAGTTCCGTGTCCTCATGTTCCACCCACATACATTACTGGTACCTGCTACTACCCAGAATTTCAAGGAATGGTGGGTGGATGTGCCTGAGTTCCATCTTAGATCTGTGTGGTGGGCCACAGGCACAGGCTGGAGATTCTCACTTTGGTCATCTTTATGGTTCAGTCCTCTGACCTAGCTGATTGTTTGGTGAGGGAGAGATCCTGTCACACCTGTACCTCAGGTGTCTCCTGTTACAACTCTTCTTCTAATACCTTCAGACCTTCATGCTGCAGTTCTGTCTGTATTTTCCCCACAGCAGTGTCCCAGCCACTACAGGCAGCTTCAGTTGACTCGGGCAGTGTGTATCTTGTGACAGAGCTCACATGCCCTCATTGTAGGGTGTTCTGTCTCTCCATGCCAATAGAATTAGTTGTCCCATCACCACAGTCAATGAAACCTTGCTTCTGATTCACGAGACAAGTCCGAGTTAACTAAGACAATGCTGGCAGTGTTTCTAGAGCAAAGATATTCATCAAGTTGACTAGACCTTGGGCCTTTTGTAAGGTCTTTTTTTCAGGAAAAGGAGGTCTCCCCTCACTGCCACCCAGCAGCCATAGGCACTGAAGCTCACCTTGGAGCTTCTCTGGGCAGTTCAGTACCATTGCCTACATTCAAAGAGGTTTTGCCCTATTCCAGGTCTAATGGTAGCTTAGTAGTCATAAACTTCATGCAGTACCTCATAAAAAGGTGGGTGGGAAGCACACTTTGCAAAGCCCAGTTGTAGATGCATGTATAGGAACTGATTAACATAATTATTAGAAAATATGAACTTGCAACGTGGCCCTCTTCTGTAGGGACCTCTCTGCATCACAGATTTTTTGGCAACAAAATCATCTCATGTTTTGTGGCTTATAATATTTTGTGTCTGTAATTCCTTTTTTCATTGCTACAGAGTACAAAATGGTGGATTTTTCTTCAAACAGCCTAATAATACATTGTCTCTTTTTGGAGTGATAACAGTAAATTTAAGATCAAGAACCTGTATAAAGAGCTCAGTGTTCCTTGCATCTCTGTGGTATCTTTTCTTCCCTGATTTTCACTTGCATTGTAATTCCAGTTTGCTTCATTTTGTTAGTCTTCTCTGAAACTCAAGAACTCACTCGTCTCAAGCAAGACCAGAAGTTACCTAACGTGTATAATTTTGTAGCAGTTGCAATTTTCTGCCAATGTATTACTTTTTCCAGAAAACTGGCATGCTTATTAAACAGCAGAGGTCTCAGTATAGAGGCAGCCTCCTAATCCCCCTCCCACTGTCACAGAATGCTGATTATAAAGGGAAGGTATACCTGCTTACAAGGACATTGCCATAATTGAGGTAAAGATCTCTTGATTTGATTTGTTCTGCCAGGCAGAGAACAAATTTCTCTTGCACATTCAGAGCTTGGAGCACACCACTCATGGGAATTTAAAGGAAGACAAGATATCTACATCACAGCAAACGGAAAGGCTTGGCAATCCTGCACTGCCAGTTCTGTAAAAGTGAAATGTTACTGGAAGTCTCTGCAAACATTAGTCTTGTAAACAGATCTTTATCTGTAGTGACTGGATGTCCTTGGGAAGATTTACACCATCTGTCAGTCTCTGAGAGACTCCACCTGGGAATCAAACAGCGTTGGGTCAGCTGGCCAGAGAAATGGGCTCGGGTCAGGGAATCTGTTTGGTGGGCACCACAGCTAGTTGGTCTTTGGAGGAATCCTGGAGGCCGAGGGGAGGTTGTGGTTGTTCATTGTCATTAAGGCTTTGCTTGGTTGTTCTGGCTTCTGCTTCCAATCAACTTGCTTAAAGTTTGAGCCCATCCTTTTCCCACACCGTTCCTCTATCCTTGACTCTACTTCATTGCATGGATTCCCTTTCCCTTTAAAAGGTCTAACTGTTGGCATCTCTGGTGCTTGGCTGTGGTTTATCTGATTGTAATTTGCGTGTGTAGTCCTACTTTAGCTCTTTGGTTCTTCTCTTCCTAGCTTAGTCCCAAGCACAGTGTTCCCCTGCAAAGTTCTCTCATCATGCTGGCAGGAAAATGTGGACCAGAGGGTTGTGCAGATTATGCAAGATTTGAAGATTCTGGAAGGTGCCACAAGAGTTGTTCACGGAGAGGTGTTGTGCTCACCTGTATATACTGATGCATGGTGATACACTAGAGGTGTTAGTGACAAATAAAAGACAAAAGGCAAAGGTGCTACACTTGGTTGAGATGATGCAGCGAGTGCATCATTGTGGGTGATGCTGTAGAATATGCTTGGGCAGTACAGGAGAGACTGAGCTTGCTGCTGTGCTGTGCCAGGGAGCCAACAGCACTGTTCTGAGTTCTGTGTCAGTGTTTCACATGTTGAATAAGCTCTCTGAGGAAAACAGGTAACTGCCTAAAAGCTCCCATTCCAGTAAGTTTTTCAGTTTGCACATCCTGGTTCAGGAGTTGGAAAATACTCCATGAGGTCAACAGCCGTGCTTACGAAAACTTGATGGCTACTTCCTGTTGGCAGAAGCTTTTCTTTGGAGCAGTGCCAGCGTTTGAAAGGAAAAACCTTTTATTATTTCTTAGTCATTCCCTAGGCTTTGAAATTCCTTTAGAAATTCAGAGCCCCTGAGAGTCCTGGCAACTTTCTTGTTTTGTAATTTTGAAGTTATCTCCTTATATTCTTCCATTTGGGTGCCCTTTGTACACAGAAGCCTGCCTCCAACTGTCACGAGACCCTCTGTGAAAAGAGGAAATTATCAGGAAATGTCAAGTTAGGAACCAGTTCTGTCTCAGCGCAGGCTCAGCAGGACCCAAAATGTGGGGGATATTGTCAGAATCATCCATCTCCTGCCTCGTACAGTTTCAACTTTCTGACTGCTCAGAGGGCACAGGGTAGCAGCTGGTGTTAGAGAGGGACGAGTCTATCATGCTTTCTTTCTGGTAGCCTCACCGATTTGCTCTGTTAGCACTGACTTTAATGATAACACTTACGTAAACGGACAGGGACAGTCAAAGCCCTTTATATACTAATTAAATAGATCACATGGTAGTACTTAAATGTGGAAAATGAGTGTTTTAAGGTGATTAATTAAAAGTGCCAGTCAGATCTTGTAACTTAGGTGAGTCTTTAATGTAATAGATAACTCAGGATGAAATAGAGTAAGTAGTTGCTTAACTTACCTTGGCGTGAATGAATCCATTGTTAATATAATAATTCCTTCATTTTAGCCAGTCACCTTTAAAGAATGTTTTTTGCTTTTGGTAGTCAGAAGTGGTGAAATCTATTTGTTGGCTTTAACATAAGGTTCTTCATATTGTGATTAGTATCAGTGGCTGATACACAGCACACCTTAACCACGAGCTTCAAATTTATTCTGTGGTATTTATATATTATTCACTTTATGTAGTGTATAGCTTGAAGGAGAGCTTCATGAACAGCAGCTTGTACCACATACTTACTCCAGAAACACTAATAACAATGTTGAATTGAATACAGAAGTGTCAATATTTAGACTGTATGTAAATATGTTTCTGTGAAATATGCAGGATGTGTTATATTTACATGTTATTTACATTGGATGTTTCAATATTGTGAGAGAGGAAACTGCTAAGCACTGACATAATGAACACATAAAATTAACAGTAATCTAGCATTTAGTGTGATTGTAACTGGAAGTGATAGAGATAATACAGAGTAACCTCAGGGGCACAAGGGGCACAAGAGCACAGTCAAAGACATTTGTATGGATGCATTTGAGGGCACTTCTTGCAGAATGGATACTGAGAAACTTGAAAAATATGGCTCCAGATTTTTTCCAAATCCATTCTGTTCCTATCAGCCCTTGCAGAGATTTTAGATGATCAAACAGCATATAGCAATAATTTCTTAAGCTTATTTCATAGTATTCTTTTTTCTTCTTTTGGTAACATGATCTGCTGTGCCTGCCTGCCTGGTGAGGACCCTGAAGGAAAACATCAGGCATGGCTGTACTGTCTTGCAACTCTTGTGTGAACTTGTACTGTATATTGAGCAATAGTCTGCAAAAAGGAAAGGCTGCATTTATCTAAATAAAGGTATTTTTAGTACAATTTACATATTTCAGTTTTACAGGCCTGATTCATTATTATTTTTTCCCTTCAGTAGACAATAACATGTACAGAGAGAGTGAAGGTTTCCCAAATCAGCATGTTTCCCCTTCTTACAGATTTAAAAGACTACATGTTGTTTAAGACATTAGAAACCTTAACTTTTCAAACATTAACAGGGAATTTTGTTCACAAATAATTTTTATAATTAAAATTGTCATGGCTAGTCAGTTGTTTAATTTGGATTGCTTTGATGCTGATTTTCTTGGGTGAATTGTGTTTCCAGAATTTAAATAGCAAGAGGCAATACCACAGTTGCTTGGTATATTTTTCTTAACATAAGACTGATTTATGTCTTCCCTGACTTTTCCTTTTGGTCTTTAATTAAGCCGACACGTTACAACAGTTTGTTACTTTAATTTAGAATAATTGATGACAATAATGAAAGCATCATTTTTGTAAATACATAAACATTTTGTCCATTACAGTGGGCTTTCTGTACCAGGCTGCAATAGTAAAGTTTGTCTGCATGAAGACACAAGGCTCTGGAGACACCTTTACCCTGGCTCCTGGCTCTGGAGACACCTTTAACTGCAGCTCCTGGCTCTGGAGACACCTTTAACTGCAGCTCCTGGCTCTGGAGACACCTTTACCCTGGCTCCTCGTTCTGGAGACACCTTTACCCTGGCTCCAGGCTCTGGAGACACCTTTACCCTGGCTCCTAGTTCTGGAGACACCTTTACCCCGGCTCCTGGCTCTGGAGACACCTTTACCCTGGCTCCTAGTTCTGGAGACACCTTTAACTGCAGCTCCTGGCCCTGGAGACACCTTTACCCCGGCTCCTGGCCCTGGAGACACCTTTACCCCGGCTCCTGGCTCTGGAGACACCTTTACCCTGGCTCCTAGTTCTGGAGACACCTTTACCCTGGCTCCTAGTTCTGGAGACACCTTTACCCTGGCTCCTGGCTCTGGAGACACCTTTAACTGCAGCTCCTGGCCCTGGAGACACCTTTCCCCTGGCTCCTGGCCCTGGAGACACCTTTACCCCGGCTCCTGGCTCTGGAGGCACCTTTCCCCCGGCTCCTGGCTCTGGAGACACCTTTCCCCCGGCTCCTGGCCCTGGAGACACCTTTCCCCCGGCTCCTGGCCCTGGAGACACCTTTCCCCCTGCTCCTGGCCCTGGAGACACCTTTCCCCCGGCTCCTAGCCCTGGAGACACCTTTCCCCCGGCTCCTGGCCCTGGAGACACTCCCAGCGCAGCGCTTCCCCCGCGGCCGCCCCGCGGTGCTCGGGGGACACCTGGTGGTGGCTGTGCCGCAGCGCGCCCGGCCCCGCCCCGGCCGGGCCCCGCACGCCCCTTGGCTCGCCGTGGGAAACTGCTGGTGCTGCTCGGCAATGAAAACCCATCCAGCACTCGGGTGTGTCTGAGTAAAGCTTTCAGTCAGCCCTAAGACTCTGTGCTGTGCAATCCTGTCTGAGAGGAAAAGGGCAAGCATGTACATGGCCTTGAATTTAATGGAAAGAGGACAGCTCTTGTGCCTACTGCTCATTTAGAGGTACAGCAATATCATTTGCTTATGAACTAAGCTCTGCAGAGCACGATATTAAAACGTAGGGAGCATGGGCAGTAGTCTGAGTTATCGACTCGGTTGGTTCCTGAAACCACCTGGACAGGCAGATGTGGGAGTGTGAATGAGACAAATGGCTGTCCTTATCCTTCCTGTGGTCACCTGGTCTGCTATGAGGACTTCTCAGATACAGTTTGCTGTGAAAGGAAGGTTCTCAGGTTTGATTTAGTAAATGCTTTAATGAAAAACTCTGTTCATCAAAACCTCATTCTTGTCATGTAGAACTCTGGAATGAGGTTGCTTCTCATACCCATTTAGAACCAGTATATGTGTCACTACACTGTGCAGGGCAATGAAGGTATGTCCTAAATCCCTCTATGATGTTCTTTAATCTGTACAAGGGGACCTCTGACACACCACCTGCTTCTTAAACTTGAGTGTCATAACAGCCCAGAATTCCAAGGCAAATGCTAAACAAAAATTTTTTTTTGTAATGTAGGAGAAAGATGTTGAGTCAAGTAGTTTACAATTATACAATGAGACACTTTTTCCTTCACTTCAGTTTGACTGAAGCAAAAGACAGACACTTCTTCCTTTAGAGGGAACAGATACGAGTAGAACTATATGAACACAGATTGGCTTCAAAGGGAAATTGCTAAGTCTGAATTAAAACAAACAGTTATAACAGTCATAAACTATTATAAAGAATGCTTAGAATACTTTGAATGTTTTTTAAACAGGAGTTACCAACAAATACGCTGGTACTATCCAGACTTCCTGATTTTGGTGGTGTTTAAAATATAACAGTTTATTTTAGTTCTTACATTTTAATCCTGGTGTATTGGCATACCTCTTCTGGATTAGTCAGTGATGTTTTTCTCAGTTTCTCTTGTGTCTCTTGTTTCTCATCTGGACTTTGAGTTTTAAAGGAAAGACAGTGTCTTAAGCATGTGTGAACAAATGAATCCCTATGATCAAGGTGGGATGTGAATTTATAACGTGGAGGTGTTTGAGGTAACTGCCATGAAAACTGATAATATGCCCCAGCTTTCAGGAAATGCTCTCAACGTTGTTGTTTTGAATGGGGTAACTGGGCTGCCTTTCAAGTTGTTTACTTTGTCATAGCTGCAGCCTGTAACCCTGATTATTGTCTAACTTAACCTGAAGATGTATCCACTTGTATATAACCCTTTCTGTGTTCATTGTGTCGGTGCTCAGCTCTTTCAGAATCTTATGTACTATTATTGATAGCTGAGCACTTTAGCTGGAATTCCCTTGGTGACTTGTCACTTGGTCCTTTGTGTTGAGTGACAATCTTCCCAGGACATTATGCCTATTCACCTACCTACCATTCCTACTGGGTATGATCACAACCTTCCTACTGCATAGAAAAGCCTGATGATGTGTTTGTGACTATCAAGGATGAGAGAAAGGTCTGAGGTGTTTTTTAGTCATTGACAAATTTTTAATTGCCTTTATAGAATAGATAGAAGGATGAGAAGTAATTGTGTAAAATCTGAATTAATCTGTGAAGTGCTGGAGGAATAAACTGCTGTCCTTTCCATCAGCACTTCCACAGTGGTGAGAAACAAATTTTTCCAGGAATAAAATTTCTGTTCATCTGTTTTCATTGTCAAGAAGAACATGAAATGAGGAGATTGATCTACTGAAATATTATCCACTTTTTTCAGACAGCGCTTACTCTTAGCCACAGTTCCCATTCACCATTGTATGTTCAGAACACTTTTATCAATTGGAGGCGATGGTGGTGGTTTTTTGGGGTTTTTTTTGCAGTTGTTTTGGGCTTTTTGGGGTGTGGTGGCAGTGCTGTTTGTGTTTGTTTGAGCTTCGGGTTTTTTGGTGTTTTATGTGGCAGCTTGTGAAATACCTGGTAGTTAAAGGGAAGAACAGTCCCGGTGTTGTGTGAGTGCGGTGTTATCTGCAACTACTCCCAGCCGAGCTCCGGACACGTCCTCGCTCACCAGAGGGGGGAGTTGGGCACTGGGCTCTGCAGCTGCAGGGTGCCCTCACTCTCGTAAAAGGATCTCCCATTGAAATGGAGCCACGCTGGGTTATCTAGTGTTACCAGATCTCCTCTTATGATATAACATAGGAGCAGGAATCACCTTTTCTTACTATTTAACACATCCGAGCAGCCCCTTTTAAGAGATTTTCTTTTTTCTTTACAAAGTGGATGAGAGATGAAATATACTGCAAGCAAGGTCTGGCAATACTGGAGACGATCTCAGTCAAGTAGAACTTCAAAATTCACAGTAACTGAAATCCTTTAATCCCTGCTCATTGCTTAGTTTCTTTATTTCTTTGGAAAAGGGTCACATTTGCCTTTTTATGCTAGAATCTTAGACAATATATCAGGAAAAAAGGTTTCTTGGAAAATCCTCTTTATCACTGGCTGAAAGTTCAGTAAGACTTTTGGGTTCTGATATTGCCATTTACTGCAAAGTGGATCATCAGAGACTAAGAGCATTGTAGATCATCAAGAGGGTGGGTTTTGGTGATGTCTCTTAAGAATACACCTAATTGAAAATGTCATCTGCTCTTTGCTGTCATAACTGATACTAGGTTTTGGAGAGGCTCCCTCAGTACTGGAGGATAAACAAGTTAGTGCTAAAGCAGCAGAGCTAAAGACACTTTGTTTCCAATATATTTGTTCTTAAGATCTCTGAGCCCCTGCCCTTGTCACCTCCCTTCAATAACCTGAGTTCCTCTTCCCTTCCTTTCGCATTCCGTAAGCATCCTGATCAAGCGAGAGCCAACAAATGCTGTAACTAATCTGCTGCTGCACTTGGGTTTTTTCTGGCTACTGCCACGCAGAGTCTGCAACAGCTGAACTCCACCGACCTCTGCCCCCTCACCGAGGGATGTGGCTCTGTACCAACATTTACATGCACACACATTTACTTCGTGTCCTTTCCTAGTGGTAACCCCTTAAAATGCAAGTATAGTTACGAAACCTTCATGTTAATTAAATGGGATGCAACTAGAATGGATTCTTTTATTTAAAAAAATGTAAAATCAACAACAGACTGTTCTTTGTACAGTAGAACTCAAAAAGTACAGTTTCTTAAATGTTTTCCTGCTGCCCTAGCTTCCCCTGTGTCCTTTTCATACTCCTACAGTACCCAGAGTCCAGAGCCTCCAATTTTCACAAAATTTTCGACCGTACTTCTTAAAACCTCTGTTCTGCCCTTAAGTTTGGTCAAAATTATCTAACAGGTTCAGAAGAGCAACAAGGCTGATGGGCAGATAGCATATGTTTAATTTAATTATGAAATGAGGCTAAAAGAGGCTCTAGAAGGGATTCTTCAGTGCTGTATTTGTGGTTGACTGCACAGACATGACAGAAAGCAGTGTTCAGATATCTTCAGCCAAATGTATTTTCAATTACAGGGAAGGCAGGACCAGGGAATTTGGATTCTTGCCTCCTCTAATGGTGAGAATGGCTGATGGACATATTGCAAATGGCTACTTAATGTTTTCTTTCTTCCTGATGTGCAAGGCTGTACTTCCTGTGCAACATTCCAGCTCTGCTCTCAGCACAAAATAATTAATTTTATTTTGGGCTTTTTCTATAACATTTATCACAGTATTATGTGGGTACTTCACTAACTTTGTTTTGTCTCAAGAGCAGAGGGAGGAGGGTTCTATAATATCTATTTCTTTGTAAGGGAAATGACATGTAGGAAGTTCAGTGTCAAAAGCATCCTCTAGTGTTGATTGCCCTCTTCTGAGATAGAATCATCAAATTGTTTAGGTTGGAAAAGACCTGTAAAACCACTGAGTCCAACCCTTCCCCTGTTAAACCACTAGCCCATGTCCCCAAGTGCCACATCCACACATCTTTTAAATCCCCCCATGGATGGTGACTCCACCTCTACCCAGGGCAGCTTGTTCCAATGTTCAAATGCTTGACAAGCCTTTCCATGAAGAAATTTTCCCTGATATCCAATAGAAACCTCCCCTGGTGTGACTTGAGGCTGTTTCCTCTGGTCCTGTCACTTGTTACTTGGGAGAAGAGACGGAGTGCCCAGGGCGTGCTTTCTCAGACCACTTGGCACTGCACATCATTTCATTATGTTCAAATCACAGCTCTCACTGTCCTCAGCTGCAGTTGTAAATGCTGGAGACTTCTGTATTTCAGACCCTGGGCCTCAGTTTGCTATTTAGGGGGAGAAGAAGGAAAACATATCTGAAGTATTATGGCATAACTGAATTGTGAACTGTGTGCTGCCAACTGGGCAGGATGCCAGTTAGAAATATTTGATGCTTTAATGATAGACAGTCCATTCTCTTCTTGCAAATTCCTGCTTGGATTTCTGCCCAAGTAGAGAGAACTTGGTGACCTGAGACCTAGTGCCTCATGTCATTCCTCAGTGTTTGACTCTGAGGCTGTGACAAGGCAATTTTGGTGTGTCTATAAGTGCAAGGATGTGGGTAGTTTAGTGGAGTGGATCAGATTTTCAGCAACTCTTATTTTAGGTGTAGGATGTTGTCCACTTCTTATATAGAGCCTCATTCCCATCTTTTTCAGTAGGTAGTTTCCAGATTTTGTTTGACCTGCCATTTCTGCATTCCCAACTCTCCACCTAAGTTGGAGAGGCTCTACCTCTATGCCATTTCCTAAGGAATATTAGAAAAGCACTGGTGATTCCGTTTCCTTAACAACAGAGGTAGGAGTCTTATCTATAGCATTTTTTTACTATATTTAATTTATTTTTATCTACAGTGGGATTCTCCTGTGAAGCAAGACCTTGTTGGGAAGAATGTGTCCATGTAACAGAAGAATTTCTCAGTACATGGACAGGGGACAAGATTACTGTTGAATTGCCTAATTTGGATAATCTCCATTTTCTTGGTACTTAAATTTAAAATCTGTTAATATCTAATAATATGATATGTAATTTTGAAAAATTAAATAGGAAAAAAAAGATAAAAAATAAACATGTAGTGTTCATGGATGCCTCCCGAGGGCATTTAAGTTTGATGAAATGAATCTTAGACAGTTGCCTGACACCTGAGCCCCTACACTGCCAAAGTAAGTGGACATCCACTTTGGTGACCAGCAGGAAAGGACAAAACATTTTTGACTTTTCAGTTTCACAGCTAAGAATTGGGAATCTCAGGTTCTTCACAGTTTTTGTAGAACTAAAACTGTGTGTTCCACAGACACTGAGCTCCTGTCATGATCTCTTGGAACACCTAGATTTCCAATTCCCATCTCCACTCCTAAGGCTGCTCTTCCTAATACTATTTTAGCTTTCTGATTCAGTTTAAAAATAACTTTCTCCACTTCATCCCTGCCCACCCCCTTTAGCCCTGGTCTCTTCCCTGATCCAGTTTGCCACAAAGATTCACTGAAGTTACATGGACATCATTATGGAGAAATTATAGAAATGAAACAAGTGAGAAGGGACAAGCCCAAAACAGGCAAACTTCTAGCAAATGTGGCAAGTCATACTCAGCAAAAATGTTCCAGGTTGGCACATCCAGTGCTGTGGCTGTCCTCAGGTTTTGACTGCCTGGGACAGTGGGGAGCATACACCATGAAGGGCAGTTCCTCCAAGCTGCACAACAGTGTTCCACTGGAAGACATCCTTCAAGGGGCACCATTCATTCATTAGCTTTGTGTGACAACCTGTGCACACCCCACTGTCCTCTGACACTGAAATTCCAACTCTCCTTACTGCCTGATGACATATCCACTGCACATGGGGCAGTTGGAAGGCCTTGACCTGCAATAACTTAGGACATAACTGTTTACCTTTGCCAACAGAACATTAGAAAATCTTGATTACAGCACCCTAAGGACCTTTCCAAGAAGAAAAATACTCAGTGAAAACAGGTATAAAAAGCTGCCAATGACTGGAAATGAGTTGTTCTGACTTCTTCTGGAAGGGATGAGAGGACAGCAGGTTAAAAAGTCTGGATATCATTTGCCTAAACCACTTAAGTTCATGAAGAAAGTGAGGGAATTAGCTGAATGTCAAGAGACTTTCTCCTTATGACACAGGCATAGTGCAGATGAACAAGTAACCATCTCATCATCATGACAAGCAGCCCCTGCACACATCTCTGATTTTGCTGTACATTGTGAAATGATTTAGCTGACTCAGCAGTGAGAAAATCTTTTGAGTTCTCCATGTTTAAGTTGTTCCTATGTTGATTGCGATGTAGCAAATTGTGTATTGACTGCCAGCCATTTGCCTCATGGGTGAGGGAAAAATCAGTAGAGGTAGTTTGCATTTAAACAATTAAAATGCTTCTATTTAGTACACTAGATGCTATACATTTCTGAAATCCTACTGAAACATACCTATAATCTAAAATTCACACCTGCTGACTACATTTAAGTTTGCATAGTGCATCCTCTGCTGTTACCAGGCCTGAGCACCACAGTGATGCCCCTTTCAGCTCCCTAAGCAAGTCATAATTTTGCAGCCTTTGATCAACTTTACCATTTATGTTTGGGGGGGGGGGTGTTTTGCAGCTTGTGGTAGGAGCCCAGGGTGTGAGTTCCTGTGATCCCTTCTTGACCTTTTGCCACTGGAGAAATCTTCCATGATTTGTTAAGCTTATGTTGCTCACTGTGTCACGCTAAGGATGCC